GTGCCTTACTAGTAGTAACAAGAAGCTATTAGAAACAAGTGCCACGCTAGTAGTAACAGGTGCCTTACTAGTAGTAACAAGAAGCTACTATTAAATTTACTTTAATTTTAATTCTAATAGCTTCTTGTTACTACTAGTAAGGCACTTGTTACTACTAGCGTGGCACCTGTTACTAGTAGTAACAAGTCATATCGGATGACCCTTCAACTCCGCTCCTCCGAGCCGTCGACAGCTCCAGCTCAGAGATGGGACGCTTCTTGACACCTGGCGCGATTGACGTGAGTTGACCTCAAAACGCTTTTTCACTTGGAAAGGCAAATATATAAGTCACAGAAATCCACAGAAAAAATGCAGCAAAAGTGGAAGGAAGAAAGGACCAAAGGTGTGAGAGATTTGAGAGCTTCCAGATCTAAGAGTTGCGAAGGCTCCTCAAACTTGGTCTTGATGTCTTGTGTACTTGTCAGTTTGATGGAGTTTGGTGCTTCGTGAACATGCTGAGGATGACGATTTCAACATCAGCTGAAGCTGTTTGGAAGTAGCTGAAACTGGTATAACCATGCAGAAACCTAAGACTCACTGCCTTGCAACACGCCCTTGGCGGCATTCACAGCTTCCATGATCCGGGACCTCGAATGGATCTTCTGATTGACCCAAAACACCTCCCTCCTTTGTGCTTCACATTGCTGCTCTCTGCTTCGCAAATCTCATTAGATCCCTCTGACCCAGGAGTATCAAGTCCAGGACGGGTGAGCACTCACAGTGCAACTGTACCATCCAGCCTGAGCAAACCAACCAAGATCAACCCCAAACAACCAAAACCACAGCCCCAATGATTGTTATTGCTGATCCGTGCCTCGAGCCGGTCGAACATGGACAACTCAAAGCTGCCTGGCATTTCTATGGATATGATTTATCTCGAGATCATTGGTGTGATGTATATCGAGGCCAATGAAGCCATGTATCACAATATGCTACCAACACATGGCTTTCGCGTCCCCTGCGCTGTTCATTCAGCACAGTCATCCCAAACGTGCTCAGGAGGACAATCATAAGACAAGCCCAGTGAGTCTCTCACCTCAGTGGCTCGAGAACTGGTCAATGAACGCTTGGTCAGTGAAAAAAGAGACATCGCTTGGTTTGACTACATCTACTTTCAACGGCTGCTTGATTTTTTGTGATTAAACAATGAGTCCACCTTTAAAAGGCCACATGGCCATTGCCCTTGGACTTCACCACCAACTAGAAACACACGTTCTGTCTTCACTACTTCTTCTTATTCAGCCATGTGGCCGTTCTTTTAGCCAAACAACTGTTTTTCAAAGAAAACCAATACAGTTTTCTCTTCAACTGCAAAATCGGGAGTGGCCATTGAGCTACCGGCCGTGGAAAACAGTCGTGTGTTGATCACCTTCCAAGAGCCAGTGTCGTTTGTGCGGCGGTTTCTAGCCTTCACTATATTGCTAGTAAAACGAACGGAAGCTAGCCGGTGTAGCACAAAAAAACACCTAGTGGGAACTTGTGAGGGCTTAGACCTTTCGATGGTTTTCACTTTCTTTCTTTGGACCTTTCTTTCTTGTTGGTGTAGCAAGAACGCAAGAAACCATTCTTACAGCTGGAAGCTGCCCAACCAGTTTCAACCGGCGTTGTGCAATGGATCCGATGTTTCATCATCTCCAGATTGCAGGGATGAGGTCACTTCTATCTGTTGTTGAAGCTTTTTGAACATATCTACATTATCTTAGGCCTCCCAACACTGCTATCAATGGTGGAATGCTGGCCTCTCGCATGGCCAAAAGGCACGTGGAAGGGTAGAGCCTCAAAGACCACACGGCCATTCAAACACCCAAAGTGGTGAGAGATCAAATTCCGTCAGGCACATGCAAATGATGAATGGCTCAAGACCGATGAACTTCTCAAGTCACTTTTGCATAGGTGTCAAACACTTATATATACGAAGATGTTCAGCTTCACACTCTTGTAATCACAATCTTTTTAACTTTCTCAACTAGACAGAAGTGAACGCTACTAGGAGCAAAGGGCATCGCTACTAGGAGCGATCGGACGCTACGAACGGGGCTCCTGGCCTTACTACTAGTAACAAGAAGCTACTAGGAGCTCCTGGCATCGCTACTAGTAACAACCTACTAGTTATCTTCTCATCTTGCAGAAAACAACCTACTCATCTCTGTCTCAGGACTCCACGGGTGATCCTTGAGCTTGGAGTTGGGGGCATCCCAGGAGAACTGCTTCTTGGCCATGATCTGACAGTGCGTTCTTCAACTGAAGAGGTGGAAACAATTGCGGAAATCTTTTGGTAGGACATGGCCAGTACTTCACCTGACCTGCGTTTGGCCAGTCATCCTCGTCATTCGCTTCCACATACATAGCATGGGCCCCGAGTGAGTAGAGTCTTCTTTAACTATGCATTGCATCCACCGCAGGTGCATTGCCCCAACATCCTGACCGATCTGCCTCCTGGTGGTACTTGTCTCCCTTGCCCCAGCGGTTGGGTGCGCCGCCACCAATGTTGGCGCAAGCACGTTCGTCACTGTCCTAGAATGAGAGTTGAGACTTGGAGACTGTCTCTAAGTCTTGTTCTCTAAGATAAGTTGCAACCTTTTCTGGTCATGTAGTTCATGTCTTTCTTCACAATCCCCTCAGCAAAAACCCATTCCGCCACTTCGACTGCCAACTGGTGCACTGAAGGAATTTGTGGCTGTCCTCAAGATGGGCAGTACGTTGCCGATCCTCTGGAGAGAGCTCCTGCAGGGCAGCTTCGCTGAATTCTCAAGCGTTTTTTGCATCTTGTGGCATCTGCTCATGGGCTCACGAGAGGAGTCCGGAGTCTCATGAAGCAATTCCTGCAATTGGAATGTCTCATGCATCCCATGAAGATACTGGCGATAGAAGTTCTTGTCTCTGGCCCTATGGCGATGTTGCAGGAGCTGTGCAATCACATGCAATGTAAAGAGGTACCGATTGCATCGGCTCGTCAGCTATTGATTCTGGTCGATGGCACCTCTCCCTGATTGATCTGTGGGGCGCGCTCCAAGTTCACCTGGGAAAAAGGCAGGCTGTCGGCTGTCGAGTACAACAGGCATCATCCTTCAATACTGCAAGTAGACCACTCAATAAGTCTTCATCAGAGTTGCTCTCTCTCTCTCTCTCATGCTCTATCTACAGTATTTCAAGTTTCAAGATCGAAAAACATATGACTTGTCCTTTTCCGCAGCAAACATCTGCATCAACCCATGATCCGCCACAAAGTGCTTCTGAAACTCTCTTCATGTTGGTACTGCTTAGTGCTACCCCAAGCTTGCAAAAGAACAGTGACACACCCAAAATTTATTCTAGAACATCCGTCTGATGCCAGCTGCCAGTACCTAGTGACCTACCAGAACCATCCGGCCACGCTTCGCCGTCCACTTGCGCCTGCTTGGTCTCGCTCTTGGGCAGCATACCCAAGTACTTCCAGAGCGCCTCGTCCAGCTCCAAGAACCTCCGTGACGAGGTCGTCCACCGGCCCGGCGGCGGAGTCGCTCTTCGAAGACTCGACCCTTTGGTTCTAAGGCACAGAACGGAAGACTCTGCCAAGTTGACCTTAGAATATCTAAGTCCATGTTGACCAACTTTATCACAAAAGCTTACCATGCTCCACCTTGAACTACGAGCACCTACCACGTGCCAACAAGATTGTAATGCTACCAACATAGACTTTGATACTTTTTGACCCATGGCAATTGTGAAGACTATGAACCTCATGGATCCTCATGGTTGCATCTGTCCAATCGTGCAAACAAGACTATGAACATCTATGAACCTTCTGGAACCTCATCTCATCGCTACGAACGGAACAAAGGCCATCGCTACGAACGGAGCAAGTAGCTGCTAACAAGAAGCTACGAACGGGGCTCCTGGCATCGCTTCTTGCTCCTGCCAGGAGCCCCTAGTAACCTAGTAGCGTCCGAACGCTCCGAACGGCTCGTAGGTTGGGCATCGCCGTGGAGCGAACTTCGCTCGCCTTCGCTGCTTGGCTGCCTCTGGGAGTTCCACCTCCTCCACGTCGTGCTCGCCCTCCTCTCGAACGAACCGGTAGATGGAAATGCTCCCAAACGGATGGCCGGACCAACACATTCCTAAAGAAGCATTCTTGTATGGGCAGCTCCAAGTATACAGTAGCATTCTAGAACAGAATGAACACAATAAATGTTCTTGTCGAAACTTCACAACAGGAAAAAACACATTCCAACCTCATGCATACCCACCAATAGTAGTGTTCTAGTTGGTTGTCAGGGCACTTGAAGGCATTGTTCCAAAGATGGATAGCGACACTTTGCATCACTTTGGCGATCATTAGGAACAAGTGCATCGCTACTAGGAGCAAGGGCCTTACTAGTAGTAACAAGAAGCTAGTAGAAACAATAATTAGTAAGTAGACTATCTGCCTAGGCTTTCCTCCCAAACACCCCAAGAACGCCTCACGATGCTTGCCAGTGCTGAGTCCACCCTCAACACCTCCAAACGGAGAATCATTGGGCTTGGAAGTTCCAAACAAATCTCAAGTCCAACGAAAAAACTGCGCCAAATCCAGCAATCATCACTACTGCGCCATACAACTGGGAGTTGCAAAGGATTGATGGTGTCCACATGTGTCCACCGTGAAACATGTGAAAACTGATGTTGGCTCCTGGAAACTTCCAGATCGCTACAAGGGCATCGCTACTCGTAGCTACTAGTAGCTCCTGGCATTGCTATATAGTAGTAACAAGAAACTACTAGGAGCAAGTTCATCGCTACTAGGAGCAAGGACGCTGCTAGTAGCTCCTTCCAGATCGAGCTTCAATCATCGCGCCTGCCATCTTGCTGTGGCCTCGCCCCTCAAAGTCAGCCACCAAGTTGATCTCCAGATCCTCACCATATGGCAAACCGCAAACAACGGGCAGAGTAAAAGCAAAGCAAACCAGCTATTAAAGTCTCACAGCTTTTTGGAGCTCACCGATGAATATTGGCAAGCTTTGAGCAAAAGTCATCGAAGAGCGCCTGCGGTCTCAACTGCCCGCTGACGGCCCTCCGAACCTGCAAACAGGAAGAAATCGAAGAGATTCCAAGAGGCCTCAAACGGTGAAGGTCCTAGTAGCCTCCTTTGCTACTAATTTTAAATTCTAGGTATTGTTTCTGTGATTCATGAAGTACAGAGTGCACAAGTCGAAAAGTGTACCATGCTTCCATTGACCCATTTCGTAGAAAGCCAAGCGCTACGGGGGTCCAAACACCAATTCGGTGTTACTGGTTGATTTGGCTCAAGGATCGGAAAAGCCCGACGTGCTGGGCACCCCATTTCATAACCACAGGTTATGAGCCCAAGGTGATCTTTTTTCATTTTCCAAGTCCACCTCCCGCTGTTGGGTGAACGGGGGAGTTGCTGGTCCCCATGGAGCAGCGGAGGCGACGCCAACAGAGGTCGCGAGAGCGGAAGGAAGCTGCGGCCCCGCAGGTGGAAGTCGGAGCGGCAGATCGGCGGCTGGATGCCTTGATCGAGGAAGAGATGAAGGCGAAGGCGGCAAGGGCGCAATCAGTGCCGGTGGGAGCGGCTGAAGTGAAGCGGCTGGGTGTGGCGGCTGGCGTGGGCGGTGGCCATGGAGGTCATTCGGCTGCGGCGGCATCGAGTGGCCACCAGGGACCACCGGAAGTTCGACAGTTGCTGAATGACCCAAGAGGCCAGGTGATGGGACTTGGGCAGTTGCAGGAGGCAGTTCGACAGTCATTCGAAGTGTTGCAGCATGCTCTTCAAAGGCCAGGTCCTCAGCCAACCCTACTCGATCCTCTTCTTCGGCCCGGTGATTAGGGAGGTCATGCCGGTACCGGATCTGGAGTTCCTCTAGGGCACGGGCTGGCGGCGGGCACTCCATTGCGGCAGAGCGGAGTGGAGATGGAGCGCATGGGAGCGTCACCATACGTGGCTGGAGCAGGGCGTGATGATCTACATCCTCGGGTGCTGGAGCCTTATCCCACTACTCCAGTGGGACCGCTGGGGGCAGTGAATCCCTTTTGGAGTGCTTCGGTGCAGCAAGCGGTAAAGGGAGAGTCACATGTCCGGGCTTCGGAAGCTGCAAGTGGTCAGAATCCTGTTCCAAGCCCAGGCGCGGGACACGTTGAACGTCTTCGAGAACGCATCTTGAGGGAGGCCGAGGAGACCTTTGCTCGGGAGGTGAAGAAAATGACGGACGCTGGAGACTCGGCCTCGTTCACGTCGGTGCCGAGTGCGAAGGCTGAGGGACCACAAGAGCCAGTGGGGGAGCCTACCAAGCTTGGTGGACCACCTGATACTCCTCCTGGTCTTGTTCCGGTACATGATCCTCGAGGTTCGGAAGTGGATTGAATGGAGCGGTGAATGTGATGAAACCGCTGAATTCGGTGACAGCTGCACTGCCGGAGGCAATGCGGAACTTGGAGTTGCCACAATTGCCAGCACCTTCAACTGAGAATGCAGCCTTACTTTTTGGAGACTGGCTGACGGTGATCACTCCGTTGATGGGAGACCTTGAATGGCTTTTGGCAACACCGTTGGGGCGGTTGAGAATCAAGGTGGAGGAGCAGGTGTCCCCACGGTTTCAACGATTGGATCAGCGGGCAAGCTCGACATTGCTGGCAGCGCTTCCGGAACCGGTGAGAAAGGACATTGTTGCAAGTCGAAGGGTGGCTACTCAGGCGATCTTGTACAAGCTCTTCACCATCTACCAACCTGGTGGAAATGCAGAGAGGGGCAATCTGTTGCGCAGCCTGACGGAGGTGAAGTGCGGCAGCTCCATCCAGGACACATTAGGCGCTATTCGAACTTGGCGCAGGTGGATTTGTCGAGCGGAAGAACTGCATGTGGGGATCCCGGACTCGATGGTCTTGATTCAGGCCTTGTCCAAGGTGGCGGAGAACCTTACGAAGCATGGAGGAAGCCAAGTGGGATTCAGAATTGCGGCGGCTCGACAGGAACTTGAGATTGATCGGAGGCCTACGCTGATCACCACCAGTTTGCAGAGTTCCTACAAGCGGAGGCGGAAGATTTGGCGTTGACTATGCCGCATCCGTCGTCTTCCAAGACTACCAGTTCAGGGGCAGGTCTCCAACCGGTGGCAGGAGCTCAGCCGACTATCAAGGCCTTGGGGGGGTGGAGTTGGCGGTGGAGATGGGCAGCCAAAAACGAAAAATGCATGCCGCCACTGGGGGACTACGGCCGGGTGCAAGCGGGGTGAGTCCTGCGCATTCGCCCACTCCTGGGAGGGCATCAACAAGTCAGACAGGTGTTTCCATTGCTCCGGGAAGAACCGCTTTGCGAAGGATTGTCCATACGGTCGAGAACGACCTGGGAAGGATGGAAGGAAGACGGCCAAGTTGAAAGGGAGTGGGAAGGCATCGGTGGAAAAGGAAGAGACTGGCCCAGGGGACACAGGAAAGCCAGGAACTACTTCATCGACGAGTGCTATGTCCATGTCTACCAGGCCGGCGTCAAGTGGTGGAGAAAAAGGACGGGATGGTGGAGTTGACCCGGTCAAGAATGGTGATCCTGCATCAGAGCTAATCACCGAGGCCACGTCCCTTCTGAAGTCTCTCCGAAGCATGAAAACGTTCAGACTGAAGCAGATCAATGTGGCAGGGAGTGAAGAGGGGCAGGAGCTTGCACTACTGGACGGTGGAGCTACCCACCCATTGAGAATGGCACGACCTGAGGAGCGAGGGAGGTTACAGCCCATCACGGTGGAGCTTGCACATGGCTGTACGACATTGCACAGGCATCCGGACTTTGACACTCTCTTGTCGCTGGAGCCAGTGGAGCCGATCCTGCCATTGAGTCTGCTTGTGGAGAATGGGTATGCCATTCACTGGACGGGACAGGGTTGCACGATCATGCACCAGCAGCTGGGAGCTGTGAAGTGTTGGTTGAGATCGGGGTGCCCCGTCATGAACCGGAAGGATGCCATGGTGATGTTGGCAGAGTTCGAGGAGAACCAGAAGACTAGGAAGAAGTTGTCCCAAGAGGATTGGAATTGGTGGCGCAGCATCATGCCGGACGTGCCGGAGGACGTGCTGGAGATGATGGTTGGGTTCTCAAACGAGCCGAACCCAGAGCTGCTACCCTGGAATAGACGTCAAAGGCGTCGACACCAACGAAGTCGGGGCTTAGTGATCCATCTTTTCTCTGGAGCTGATATAGGGAGGTGGAAGGGCACTTTGCCGGATGATATGGATTGGATCTTCCTGGATCTGGAGTTGGGGGATGGCTTCAACATGCATAACGTGAACGTTTGGAGCTACGTGTGCTCGCTGGCCCGATCCGGGAAGGTGAAGGGGATTGTTGGAGGTCCGGCAGATTGAGGTGCAGGGGGGCCCCCAGGACCAAGGAGGGTGAGAGGTCGCGGCTCTGATCGTTGGGGATTGGAGGGGCTGACTGCCCGGGAACGCGAGCAGGTGCGAGGGGATTCCGCACTGGTGGCGAAACAGGTGGGGCTATGGCATCTTGCGGAGGAGCATCGTGAAGGACCGGAGCCGGTGGCATTCCTTCTGGAATCCCCGCAGGATCCTGCCAGCTACATGGGAGAAGGAGCTGAGGCCGGACATGAGCATCCATCTTTCTTTGAGTGGCCCGTGTTGAGGAGGATGATTGAGGAATATGGAATGAGCTTGGTGAGCTTCGATCAAGGGAGAATGGGGCACCCAGGCGGAAACCTACGAGTCTGCTTACCAACCTTCGTCACCTGGAAGACCTGGATGGGCTCAGGGGAGGAGGATCAGCGGACCCGGTGGAGGGAGGGTTACAGGAGAGAATGAAAGCCTCTCGTTCGTGGGCACGATGGTCCGATGGTCTGGTGAAGGCTATTGGGTTAGCCTTGAGCCTCAGGTTTGGGGGGAGAGCTCATGTTGGTCTGGATGTGGATGAGTGGAAAAGGCATATCAATCAAGAACACGTTCCTTATAGGAGAGACTGTCGGGATTGTGTGGAAGCGATGGGTTTCTCCAGCCCACATCGGCGATCAAGAAACGCCTCGTCAGCTTTCGTGATGGCGGTGGATATCATGGGTCCTTTTGAACAGGGCGAGATCTTGGGTTGAACCAGTGGTGTAAGTATGTGATGGTGGCGACGATCCCGGTGCCGATTGTGAAGGATCTGGCTGGGGCACCAGAGGAACCACTGGACCATGAGGCGGAGGTCAAAGATGTGGTGGAGATTGAGGAAGAGAAAGAGGAAGTGGAGCTGGCTACGGAGGAACAGGTGGCTGAGCTCAACATGAAGGCTGCGCTGGAGCGGGCTCAAGAAGAGGTTTCTCTGCAGAACCTCACGATTGCAGAGCCAATGCAATCCAGAGCGGTGGGGGACATCGTGCAGGCGCTCTCCAAGGTCCATGCTCACTACAGGATGTGGGGGTGCGGCCATGTCGGCTGCACTCGGACAGGGAGAAGTCCTTCCTCACGAAGGCAGTGGCCAGGTGGGTTCAGGCTCGGGAGATGGTTCACACGATGACCTCGGGCGATGATAGCCAGTCAAATGGCAGAGTGGAAGCAGAGCTGTTGCAGCTCAAACGAAGGATGAGGCTCCTTCTACACACCAGCAAGGTGGAGGCTTCGCTATGGCCATGTGCATTGAGGCACGCAGCCACTCAACGACTTCGCCTACAACTTCAAAGGCTGGCTGGGAGTGGGATCGAAGCCAATGGTCAACTTTGGATCGATGGTCATGGCCAAATCCAAGAGATGGCGTCACAAAACAGGAGAGTTGACTAACCCGTTCAAGAAGGTGCAGGTGCTGGGCCCAAGCCCATTGATGTCGTCAGGTTGGGTGGCCAAAGATAAGCAGAATAGAATCCAACATCTTCGAACTGTGGTGACCCCATCGAAGACGCTTGAAGCGGTGTTGGAATTGCAGGAGGTTGACCTCAAAGACAAGGGCATCAAATATCGGCTAATGGGAAAGCAGTCAATTGACCCCAATCCACTGAAAGATGCAGTGTCTCGGCATTTTGATGCAGGACTTGCCGCAGGACAACCAGCTCTTCGTGTCCTACGAGCTGGGGGGGAGACAGACCCAGCGGGTAATCCAATTTTGGAATCAACTTCGGAAGCGGAAGCACCCACTCCATTGAATTCGCTGTCGGTATGGGAACCTGGGGAGGATGTGAACGACCTGGGAGACTCCATCGATCAGCCTATGGAGCCAATGGTGGGGGGAGATCGTGAAGGAGACACCGAGGCGGTGGAGTTGGAGGTTCGCGGCCCCTTGAGGGATTACCTGCAGGAGCTTGAGCGGGACTTCAGTGGGGGTGGTCTGGAGTTTGTGGACGAAGAGGAGGAGGTCGATGAGACAGAGCCGGAATCTGAAGGGGATGAATCGGGGTGGAGAGCCTGGGAGTGTCTCAGTGAGCTCGCGATGGTGTGCTGCGGAGACTGTGGCCTTCTTCAACCGAGGCATCCACATCAGGTCCCGACACAAGGATCTTCGAGGATGTGGTGTGGTGGTGAGCTCCATGCAAGCGGCTGTGGAAGGGACACTGGACTTGGTGGAGGCTACACAAATATCCTGCGGGTTCTGTGGTGGCAACTTGGAGTATGTGGATGACTATCGTGAGCGTCGAACTGGCGGGCTATGGAAGGGTTCCAATTGCTCCTGGGACCAGGCTGAAGAGTGGCATGCAATGGAGGTGAGGTCTCACTTGCTCATGAAGAGATTGTGGAGTGAAGAGTTGCGCCATCAAGCCATTGGAGAAGAGGAGGGCCCCCAGCGAGGACGATGGATGGCAGCTTTGGAAGCCGGTCTACTGGTGCAGGAAGATCACTTGGAGGATCAACATCGCAAGTTGGAGTCGGTGAGGTTGGCCGCGGTGAAGAACGAGGCGGGCCTAGAGATTCAGGATCCAGGAGCTCCTCCGCCGGCGGTGTTGCAGACCTATGCAGTCCCTCTTCAAAGAGTCAGGCAAGAGCTGGCAGCATGGGTGCCTCCGATGACTGATGAGTACCATTCCCTGATTGAGGGGACCCGGGCATTGAGTCCGACCATGGAAGAGTTGGAGAAGGATCCTCTGTTTGAGGTGATGGAGGTGGCACCGCGGACGCTGGTTCCGACCATCAAGGCCCCATGGGAAAAAGCGAGCTCGCGTCGTGGTCTGCGGCAACAGGCTCGAAGCGTTGGATGGTAGTGGCGCCGCTCACCAAGGAAAAGAGGAGTCCCAGAACCGGAGCAGATGGAACCACCATCAGATGCCTTCTTCGGAAGGCTGCGTCGATGAGCTGGGAGATCGCGACTTGCGATGTCAAGACGGCCTTCCTCCTGGCGCCCCGTGAGGACTCCAGTCGACGATTGGTTGTGGTGAAACCCCCACGCATCTTGGATGGAAGCAGGCATCGTTGGACCTCGAGAACTATGGCGAGTCCAACACGCCCTATACGGCCTTCGTTCTACCGGAATCGGCTGATGAGATCCTTTCAGTGGCAGCATGAGGGGGTGACCTTGGAGCTTCGGGAGACGCCGGAACCCAACCTCTGGAAGATCATCGAGAAGAGGCCGCTGGATCAGGAGGAACCGATGCCGAAGGGATTCGTTGGAGTCTATGTGGATGACTTCATCGTCATTGGAGCCAAGGACATTGTGAAGGGAGCCTTGAGCAGGATCGAAATGGAGTGGAAGTGCAGCCCTGCTGAATGGGTCAGCAGTGAGAGATGGACCAAGTTCAGTGGATTTGAGTTGAGGTGGAGTTCAGCGGATGAGGACAGCGGACTCTATGTGGGGCAGCAGGCCTACATCCAGGAGTTGCTTAGTAGACATCCATCTGTCACTCCGGCCACTGTGCCCTTTCCGGGAGTACCAAGTGAAGAACCGGAAGCTGAGGTCACCTTGGAGGATGTGAGAAAGGCGCAGGGTGTGGTGGGCGAACTACTGTGGGTGTCAGTGAGAAGCCGACCTGACCTGGCATACGGAGTGGCTTGGATGGGAAGACAGGTGACCCGAACACCAAAACGGGTCCTGGAGTATGGACGCCAGATGTTGGGATATTTAAAGACAACCTTGGCATGGTCGCTACACTATGGACGAGCACGGTCATCAATCCCCGGGGAGCACTACTATCCTACGATGAGGGTAGATGTTCTTTCAGACGCGTCATTCGGACCTCCTTCTGGGCGTGATTGGAAATTATGGGGGAGAGCCAGTCCAATGGGAATCCAGGCAGCAGGCATTCTGTACGTTGTCAAGTGCGGAGGCAGAGTTGCTGGGCTACACGGAAGCCATGACCATGGGGGACTCCTTAGCGGCTTTGACCAATGTCTTGGAAGGGTATGGAGATGAGAAGGGGACGGAATGCCGGTTGCATGGGGGGAGACAACCAAGCTGGTCTTCGAATTTTGGAAGCACCGGATGGGCCCGTCTTCGCCTTCGAGCTCATGCCTTACGAGAGCGTGTCAAATGGGGTGCTTGGAAGGTGGTTCACATCCCAGGTCAACATCTGGTGGCAGATTTTCTAACGAAGCCGATTGGAGTGGCAGCCCTTTGCGGTGATGGGCATGAAACCGGTAGTGGAAGCTTCCTCGGATAGTTTAGGGTCCAAAGTGGCCAGGATTGCAGCTTTGGTAGGAGGGCTAGCGTGAGTCTTGACTTGGCGGCCTTCAGGTCCCACGGGCAAGGCGGCTCAGAGCCTAGCTGTAGCCGCGATGGTAGCTAGTTTGGCCACCAGCTGGAAAGCCGGCTGTGATTCGAAGAAGAGAGCCACTGGGCCGACAAGAAATGAGAATGTAGATCCACCATTTGGACTTCAAGATCAGGTGAGGGAAGATGAACCCACCTGCAGTAGGGAAGATGGCAGAGGAGGAGCCCATCACAGAACCTAGCCCTGAGGGCTCCCGGGATTACGCGGTAGAAGTGCGCCATGGCGGAAACACCAAGAGGGCACGATTGGCGGCTCTGGGAAGAGGATCTTCAGCAGAGCTTGGAGGGGAATCATCTGCCGCGACTGGAGCGGCACCAGCTGTTGACTATGACCGGCCTTGGACATGGAGGAGATTTTCTCTGGCTTCGAGGGGTCAAGACCGTTGGGACCGACTTCCAGGTGGATGGTGGGTCAGACACCATGTGAGGCAGAGGATGAGGCCCCTATGGAATGCAGCCAAATTCAAGATCGGAGAATTACCATCTTGTGGTGCCATGGAGAACGGGTGATTCGAGATGATGATTGGCGACTGGAGACGCAGCCGCCGGCGAAAGATGCCTGGGTTGGGTATACTTTCTTTCGGGATCTTCGCCCAGATCCGACGGCAGGGACATTGACTTCGACGAGAACTCTCTCTAGTGAGTGAAGAGATCGACAGGGGGTGGGACTACGACCCAGCCTATTGGGCACAAGGACTTGGAGGACAGGATGGAACTACATTGGAGGACGATGCGCGGGATGACTGGCTGGCCTTCATGCGGGACTTAGCGGTTGATGCGGGGTCTCCTGAGGTGAACCGGCCGGCGGAAAGTGAGACGAGTAGTGCAGAGAGACCTGACTGGAGGAGAACCTTGGCCAGTGAGGATGACGACCCACCTACCTTGGATGAAATGACTGCCCAGGGATGGAGGGTGGTGCGAAGCAACTTAGCACCCCCGAATCGGGAGATCTATAGAGGACCTGATCATGCACTACCACCAGCTGGAGGCTCGGATCAGGAGACACCAACATGGATGGGTGTCCACGCAGATGCCAGTGAGGCCCCAGTCAAATGACCCTTGGGAGCCGCGACGCGGTTTTTCCGGAACCTCAAGGGTTCGTGACGACTCAAGCGAGTCGGATTGAAGTTTTGAGCAGCTCGAACCACGACCGTGATGGCTTGGACCAAGCCAGGGGGAGTGTGATTCATGAAGTACAGAGTGCACAAATCGAAAAGTGTACCATGCTTCCATTGACCCATTTCGTAGGCCAAGCGCTACGGGGGTCCAAACACCAATTCGGTGTTACTGGTTGATTTGGCTCAAGGATCGGAAAAGCCCGACGTGCTGGGCACCCCATTTCATAACCACAGTTTCTAATAGCTTCTTGTTACTACTAGTAAGGCCCTTTGCTCCTAGTAGCGATGCACTTGTTTCTACTAGCTTCTTGTAATATCGGAACCCTTCACCGTTTGAGGCCCAACTAGTAGCAAGGACGCTATTAGTAGCAAAGGGCATCGCTACTAGGAGCAAGAAGCTACTAGTAGCTGCAGCAGCTCCTGGCCTTACTACTAGGAGCAAGAAGCTACTTGTAGCTAGAAGCATTTTTGGGGCCTCCCAAACATTCGAGAAAAAAGAACGACTCGGTGCCTTTGCCAGAGTGAGCTTATTCAAGTCTTCCACCAGGGCTTCTGAGACGCGAGGATCCTGCATGCAGTCCCACTGAGAAGCGATGCACTTGTTACTAGAAGCGATGCACTTGTTACTAATAGCTCCTTGTTACTACTAGTAAGGCACTTGTCACTAGAAGCGATGCACTTGTTACTAATAGCTTCTTGTCACTACTAGTAAGGCACTTGTTACTAGAAGCGATGCACTTGTTACGAATAGCTTCTTGCTACTACTAGTAAGGCACTTGTTACTAGAAGCGATGCACTTGTTACTAATAGCTTATTTCAAGGACGAACAAAAACCAAACTAAACTCATAGCAAGTGGTATTTTGCTCGGTCACGAAATGTGCCAGGACAGATCATTTCCCCAAGCCGGTCGTAAAATCAAACATGCTCTGTTGGGTCTCCCAGCGGAGTACATCATTCGCATGAGGCGATCCATGGTGCTCTGCTCCTTGCTTCGCACGGTGGCACGACACGAAACTCGATTAGCTTTCGAAGCACTTTCGCACCGTAGTGCATGGGGCACAACACGCCAGGAAAGGACATCCGACCGTTATCAGGCTGTCAGGATCTTGCAACAGCTCGTTGGAATTCTCCACATTTCTTAGCAACACAATCATTGAGCAGCTGATAGGGGTTTCTTATAGGGGATGTTTTAGAATTCAGCAGGACAAGCCAGAAACTACAAACATCAAAAAGATACCCACCAGAAACTGGCAGGAGCTCATATTTTCCACATGCGCTTCCCACCTAAGGCTTTGCCTTAGTCCTGTTCATCCTTCCAACTCTGTAGCCACCTAGCACACATGGCCCTGCCTTCAGCAGAGGTCAAATGTGCTTTGGCACCTGACTGAACCTGTTTTCTCAGGTGCATGAGATCTTTCAGAGGCATGTTGTTCAGCCTCTGAACTTCACTGTCAGGCACAGGAGTATTGAATGTATCTGGCTTGAACTGAGCATAGAAAGTGTTCTGTCCAAGAGGTTTGTGGCTATATGCCACATAATGCTGGTTGCCTTTTGGAAGCTTTGCTTGCCAAGACATGGAAGTATTGACTCTTGTAAGGCCAATGGAAGTGCCCTCTGGTGGTGGCCATATGGTAGCTTCATGACTCACATCTGCACTTGGCCCTCTGCCTCTCCATCTCTCTTTGGGGGCTGGGGCAGTGACTGTGCCAGGTTCAGATGCATCTTGCATTGGCAATGTATCTGGCAAAGGTGTGGCTGGGGCAGGCCCAGGCTCATCTTCCATTGGCAAAGTTGGCAGTGGCTCCTCTGGCACTGGAGCAGGTGGGGCAAGGCCAGAGGAGGAAGCTGCACCTGTTGGCAGTGGCTCCTCTGGCACTGGAGCAGGTGGTGCAAGGCCAGAGGAGGAAGCTGCACCTGAAGCAGGATGTGGGGCCTCTGCCTCATCATGGCTGGACCTCCTCTTTTTAGCCAACTTGGAGGCAAAGGTGGAGGGCCTCTTCTTGGGTCTACCCTTTGGCTTTGGAGTAGGCAGGAGAGACTCTTTAGACTTGGACTTGGCCTGTCTTCTCCTTTTCTCTCTGATTTTCTCAAAATCTTTCAGGTCACTGGTATTGTATGCATCAGCCTTGTGGCACTCCAACACTTCTTCCAGGTCTGAGTCCAACTCATTCTCCAACTTGTTAGCCTGAGACTGCATGTGTTCAAAGGCTTCTGTGGCCTTCTGAGTTAGAGCATCATCAGGCCCCAGTACAATAGCAAAGAGCAACTTGGTCAGGTGTGGCATAGCCATGTTACCAACAGGCCTGCCACCCAAGGATTTTATGAGCTTCTTGATCTGGGCTGCAGTCAAATAGACACCATTGAGGCACAAAGATTCAAGCAATGAGCATGCCTTTCCAGATTGGAAGAAAGCCAATGGGCCACCAGGTGACAGCAATGCCAGTTGACAAGGAACATGTGCCCAGCATTCCAAATCCCAAATTGTGTGCCATGAGATGGCAGAGGTGTCCAGCTGGAAAAGGAAATGCCTAGGCTTCACACACACACAGCCAAGAGAAAGTGAGATGGGGCAGTGAAAACAACCTCAATGCGATAAACAAAAAAACTTTGCATCCCAGTGGTTGAAATGCACCAAGAAGCCTGGCATCATCATCTCCAACATGAACCTTCAGCCTCCAAGAAAGGAAGCTGAATTCAGAGTGGGCTAGCACAAACAAGAGCTGGCCACTAGGCTTGTGCGCAATGATGCTCCCTGGCTTTCCACACAGTACTGACAGCCAGGCTTCCTCCAAATCATCAGCCTGTGGGGCAAAGTTGCCAAACAAGAACTCTGTAGATGCAATTGCCTGGTACATACTGGCAGGGGTTGGGGAAGGCCAAGCAGAGCTGCCCCTGTTGGGCAGCATGAGCCTCTGGAAGTCAGAATGCATCTTGTGTTTCTCTGGAGCTGTTTTCCACTTGAATGCAGACTTCAACTGCCTGTCCCATGTTCCTGATTGAACTTTTCCAGCCCAAGGCAAAGGCACAAAGTTGAGTTTCCTTTGCTTCAATGCAGGAGAGTTGATCACTGCATTCATTCTACTGGTGATGGCCCTCTGAAAATTTCTGCCACTCCTCAAGATGTCCTTGGCAGTCTGGTGGGTGCACTCGATGCACCTTGAATCCCCCAAATGCTGGTTAAATAGCTTCAACAGGTTGTACCCCTCTGAGCCAATGGCATAGCCTCCTCTCTCCAAGGCCATGTATACCTAAGCTGTCTAAAAAAAGAATTCCCTGTCTTCTCCCTGCATCTCACACCAGGCACCATGTCTCAATACAACAAAACAACTGGGTCTGTAAAATTTACAGTCATTTGAAAGGTAGGCAAGTTGCGCATCTGGTCAGTGGTGCAAGCCTCCAGTGGCAATGGTCCAGAGCAGAAATGGTGGCTCCTTGGCTTGCTGCTGACTCCATTTGCAGCAGCAATCTCCAGTCTTTCATGCACTGGTCAAAGGCTTGTTGAGCAGTTTGTGGGTCTTGCCCCACAATTGCTGCATACTTCACTGGTGGTGTGCAGTATTGTGTGGCCAAACTCTTGGCCCTGTTGGAAACCAAATGGGTGAAGTAATCCAAAGCCCAAAGTTTGACTTTGGAGTCCTCAATCACAGCATTGTCCCTGAAGAGAAATTTGATGTTGCCCACTGAGAAGAAAAGATCCCTGCAACAGTCTACCTGGACTGCAAAATGAATGAATGCCTGGGCTATATAACAACTACCTTCCCCTTCAACTGGAGTGGGGGAAACATGAAGGAGGTGCTGCTTGCAGCCAAAAAGCTAGCTCTGCAGCCCAACCCTGGTTGGTCACATTGCTCACTGTGTGGTCCAAAATCTGCTTGGCAGTGAGAAGTTCCCTGGCATCTTCAGCATGGTGTTTGCAAGCTGCTGCTGTAACGATGCAGACAATATCCTTTTGCATAATGAAGGTGTTGCTAATCAGCCTGGGAGCCAAAGAAAAGGTCCCCTCTGCCATTTTGAGATTCTTGAGCTCTGCTCTCACATCCTGATCTTTCTTGCCTGAGTTTGGCTCCTCCACAGGCAATAATCCATCATCCTTGAAGGTGTCTTCAAAAATGTGCTTGGTCTTTGAAAGGACCATTTTTGCAGCCATCAAATCAGATTGAAAGTATTTTGCTGACTGGAAAAAACTCAGCCACCTGCAAAGCTTCACCAAAGGCCCTTTGTTGGACCAATGAGGTGCTTCCTGGATCTGTTCCCACAGTGCTTGAATATCCTCTGGCTCTGAGGGCTCCTTCATGCCACATTCCCAGGCTATCATGGAAATATAGCTGGTAAAGGGCTCTTGGTGAGGTGAGTTCTGCATAAAGAACTCTTTGGCCATCTGTGCTTTCTTGGAGAAAAACTCTCCACTGTTGAATGGGCCATAAGCCAGGTTGTAGAAGATGGACAAGGATAATACCATTCTCCATGGGAACCCTTCTGCCTGTTTCAAGGATGCCTTAATGTCGTTCCAACATCGATGGAAGGGGTCCCATTGCAGCCCAATCATCACACTGTGCTTGCTGTAGGCCAAAAAATGTAAACCTCCACGGTTTACAGCACCTTGATCTGATACAGATATGACAGCTGCCATCTTGTCCAGTTGAATGTGCCTTGGCACCTCCAAGGCTACTTCCATGGTCTCTTGGTTGTAGATCACCCATTCCTGAGCAGTGCAGACAGTAGTCAATCAAATGATATGGGAAAAACAATTTGGGCTGAGAGCACTTTAGAGGCCACATGAGCATTCTGTTAACAAAACATCTGACCATCAAGTTGGGCAAAGTGTCATTCCCATTCCAAACCCTAAGTTCAGGTCCTGTCAAAGGTCTTGCCAGAAGGCCTTGTGGGACCCTGATGTCACTCCGGCACCTATGATCCACTTCGTCGCACACACACCGGAGGCGAGAGAGCGAAGTGAGGAGGTGAGACGGTGTGTGCGCCGTGCTTGTCACAGATTATTCCACATGATGATTCATGGTTCTTACACAGCCATTTTGGCTTTGCTCACTCTGACCATTTTGGTCAACGCAAACGACGATTTCGTATCTAAACATACCCTGCTTGATGAACTTTTGCAGGTTTTTTCCAACTATCTTTTCCATATGTTCTCCGGCCTTTTTTGGCCTTCTCTTGTTAACTGCTTACCTGTCCATGTTCGCTTTCGACAGTGCATGATGTGCAGAACCGTCAAGGGACGTCGCTACCGTTCCTGCAGACGAGTTCGCAAAGAGCGAATTGCTGGTGCTATGTTGTTCTTGACCCTGGGATGCTTCTACAGTGCTTTCTTGGCCAAGTTGATTTGCCTTTCGACGCGACAGATTTGTTCAGCTCTGACGAAGCACCTCTTGTACAGAGAGTCGGTTTTCCAATATTGGCTTGTATGCTTGTCCTTGTTGAAGCTTCGTTGCATGTGGTACGTCGGCAGGAAGGTCCGCAATCGTTTGATGCACAGTGTGAATGGCAACGGTGGCACAAAGGGCAAAGGCAAAGGCCGTGGTAAGCCTGTTTCGACTGCCGTGCCCGTTACAGGGAGCCCTTCAATTGAGGTTGCCTCTTCAAGTTCGACGCCTATAGATCCACAGTTGGATGTCCGACAGCAAGTGTTGTTGGCTCTTCCCGACGCCGCTCGGCTGAGGGCTCAGAGCACCCTCATTGAAAGTGAGTGGTCGGTGCCAGTTGTTCCGTGGCAGAGCCTTGGAAAGGGTGATGGGATTGCTGTTGTCCCAAAGCAGTTCTTGGCAGAGGTGATCCGAAAAATCGGTTTCAGTGGCCGAAGTATTGCTGCCGTACTTACACAGGACCCTGACTCTTTGGGCTTGTTGGGATATGATCGTCAGTTCTTGAGGCTGAACTTGAGCACCATGGGCCCTGGAGGTGATCGTGTGATCACAAGTGTGAAGCGTTATGTTGTTCAACTTGGTTGGGGGAAAGCTGTTGAGCAAGTGA